TTTTTTTTTTTTTTTTTTTTTTTTTTTTTTGTCTTTTGTCTTTTGTCTTTTTCCGTGTCCGGCAACGGATCGCAACCCTCAGTGTCGCCCCCGCACCGGACCGGGGACCGGCAACGGGATTGCAACCCTCGGTGTTGCTCCCGCGCCTCGCTCAGCCAGTGAGCGGGAACCGGTCTGTATGTGGGATCCGAACCCTCGGGCAGGAGCGCCGCCGCGCTTCCCAAGCGGCGCACTTATCCAGTGCGCCGCCGGGCCGGCCCTAGATTCTTTTTAAATAAACAATTTGGGGTGCATAAGCGCCCAAGATAATCTTACTAGAATATTTCAAAAGAATCACTCTCCCCAAATCTGTTTGTGAGTGTCAGCTTTGCTCAAGTGTACAAGACCATGTCTCAGATTCATTTTCAACAGATATGGTATGTATGCAAATATCCAAAATAAGATGGTTTAGATTTTGCTTCCTCTTAGCAATCTGCTCTTACCATCTAGCTGCTTTACTTTCTAAGCTTGGGCTTATGCACCACACATAGTTTTCTTCTAGTGAGTATTATCAGTTGGCACCTCTTCAGAAGGAGCAGCCAAAGTTCGTAAGCTAAACAATGTATCCCATAAAATTATGCCAAGAGCCAAATCTTGGCATATCACAGGAAAGTTTCTGGAAAATCAACAAGAATTTGGGAGTTACCTCTGACAGTTATGGAAATCTTTACCTTCACTCTGAATTAGAGGATATCTGGTAGATTTCTTAAGTATTCCAAACAATAGCACATTATTGGAATACTTAAGAAATAGTAAGCTATAAAGAATTAAGTTACTACCATGTCCCATCTGGCTGAACAAATAAAATAAATAAGAGGAATTTTGGATAATCTGTAGTGTTCTACAGTTGTGTCAAATTTGGGCCAATGAATCATGATCTCAGATTCAGAGCCCATGTGTTTTTCTCTCCTAAAATCTGAGAAAATCTGCAATGTGTCATGTGAACAGTAAAGTTAAGGTAGGAAAGGAGGGAAGGCATGAGAAGGAACAGAGGAAGAAAGCATGGAAGGAGGAAAGCAGAAGTGGAAAAGGCAGAAGAGAAGACAAAAGGAAAGAAGTGGTTATGAAATATAAATGTGTGGAAAACTCAGCTGAATTCCTATGCTTCATACTGTAAGAAAGCAAAAATGCCCTCCCATCCAGCACTCTCTCTCTCTTCTTTTTCAGCAACAGAAATAAACAGAAACAAGTGCATAAGAAGAATGCTGTACTCTGCTACATTCAGGTGTCTTAAAATACATCACCTGTCTGCTTGCTCAGGATAACGTTTATTCTGTTTCAATTGCATGGCATTGAACATCCGACACTGTTCTTCTATCTATAAGCAGACACCATTTTTTGTTTTTATAATTATGTAAGGGGCAGTGTTTTTCTTCAGTAAACAGCCATTTTCTCACCTTTGAAGAAACTGGGCAAGGGGGTTGCTGGGATACCTTCCAGGGCTCCAGAATTCTGTTCTAGAACTTGCAAATCAAAGACACAGTGATTTTTCCTTCAGTCTGTCTGTCCCTCCATCCATCCTGCCAGCCAGCCCACAGAAACTTAATGAGTTCCCCCGAGGTGCCTGATTCTGCCATAGGAGCTGGGGTTAAAACACGAACACAAGAGACAAAATCCCCATCTTACAGACACACCAAGGACTTTAGGCCAACATTTACATGATTTTCAAATAAGTATGTAATTGAAAATGGTCATGAATGAATGACATGAAGGAAAATTAAAGGATGCTATAGAACCCTGTAATGGAGGGACTTGATTTAGAGTTTTAAAATGTCCTGAGAAAAACAAAACAAACAAGACAGGCATCTTGATTTTGTAGAGGTAGAGAATTTTGTCCATTGCCTACAGCCAGGAAAATACTTAAGTAAAACTTCATGTTATGTTATTTGTGTTCACATAAAACTTCTTGGGCCTTTGCTTCTAAAACTCCATTGCTATTAAAAGTACTTCAAAAATAAATAGCAAAGAATGTTTATTTATAATGGTTTAGTGTAATATAAAATAAGCTAGAAGGTTTTAAGAGGAATGGAAATGAAACATCCAAAGGAGATATGGATCCTCTATACGGCCACTACCCTGAGTCAGAGCTGTTGTTGCTGGCCACATGATATAACTTTTCTAAGCCTCAGTTTCCCCACCTTTAAAATCAGTCATGCATGCCTACAGGATTCTCCTGAGGGGCACATGCGTTCATGTATAGGAAAGCACTTTGTGACCACTAACATAAAAATTATAGTATAGAAAAGGAGGGTATGAAACAATATTTAATAATAATCACCCCTCTAAGTAGAATCAGGAGTGGCTGTCCCAAAAGACTACATTAGCTAATTGAAAGATACATTGTGTATTTATCTTTAAATTGCTTACCAATTATCCCCAGCAAAAACTCATGCCAATATTATCAGAGCCAATTATGTAACACACCATACTTGGTACTCTTAAAAAAAAAAAAAACCAGCAAGTGCTTTCTGCAATAAATAGCCATGTGTGCACTTAATATTCAACTTAACTTTTACTCAGAGAGGAAAATAGCATTGTTTTGAAATACATGCTGGCCGATTTCTTTGCTTTTTTCCCCCCTATTTCTCTCAGATGTATATTCAAGGACGATGGAGTGGAACTGAAATTGAGAAAAGATCAACTTGGGAGAAGTGCCATTTCAATCAGAGGAGTCAGGCTGTAATTCTCTTTCATAGGCATCTATATTTTTACTTTAGAGGGCTTTATGTTTGTTACTGATTCCATGAAGGGCATTACTCAAAACACAGAGGCTCCAAGGCCACCTGTCTGGCTTGATTAATAGGACCATTACTAGAAATCACGGCCTGGAGGAGACATTTTTTTAACCAGTCCCATCAGAAGGAATCACTTAGTATTTACCTTCTAGGATTTCAGTACAGTTTCTCCAAAGACGTACATGAGATTTTGAAAAGAGCAATCAATTGCAAAATGTTCTGGAAGACTCTCCTCTGAAATAAATGCACCACTAAATAACTATTTCAACTGCTGACATGTCACCATCTCAGTGAAGGGGCAGACAAGAATCAAAAACAAATTGAACTTTTAGAAAATTAAAAAGACTTTTTAAACAGTCAGGGAGTGGCTTATTTATGACCAAGTTTAAAAATATTTTTAGATAGAATTGTCCTATGACTTGATTTGATCTATTTTGTTCTTCAGCTTTTCATTGCTTAAAAAAGGAAAGACACAAAGTATGAAACTCCTCAGCTTTATTAACGCAAACATATTTTTATTAAAGAATGGATGCACTTATGCTAAAGAATAGTTTACATATGTTGTAAAGCAACAAGCATATCTTCAAGAGGCAAGTCCTCCTCAATATGATTCCAAGATTACTCTACATGCCTGAAAGCCAGACCCACACACGGGGGGCACACGTACACACACAAACGCATACACGGACACATAGATACACAGACCAAAATGCCAACGGCGTCGCTCTCTGGATTGGATTAGCTCTCATTTAAGGCTTCTAAGGTGCCCCAGTGCCCCTAACATTACCAGAATTAAAAACAGACTTTCATAAAGGAGCAGCATTACCTGTAAAAATTAGTCATCTGCTCTCAGCCTTAAATGTATTTTAGCAAATACTTTTAATCTCATCCAATGTTGACTCTTTACTTTGATGATATTTAAGGATCCATGAAACTAAGAAATCTCAGGCTTTCTTAATGAGAACTTCTCATTAGAAATAATGAACAAACAGGCAACTCTGACCTTAAGATATAGATATCATTAATTTTAAGATAACAAGATAAGATTTCCCTTTAGGTTAAGATAGACGTAGGTTCTATAGAAAAGCCAAGTTTATCTAACTCATTCCCTATTTATGTGCAATGTTGAGTGATGGAGGCAAGGCTTCCTTCGTGATGCCAAATCAGATTTGAAGCTTGCCATGCAGGATTTATTGGACAGGACCATAAACTGAATAAGTTACCATAAATCAGAGTTGAAAAAAAGGAACAGCCTACAAAGAGTTTGTTCACTTGCTGCTCACTCGTTCCCCTCTTCCAGGGTTTCTGTTGTTTTAAACTCCTGATTTGTTTGTTTGATTGTTTATTTCATTTACTGGGTTGTTTTCTTCACTTTTGATGTCCTGCAGTGTATGCTGAGAATCCAACTCTCTAGGGATGTTGGAAGAGGAAAGAAGGTGGATGGGGCAGGAGGAAAGAAGGTGGATGGGGCAGGAGGAAAGAAGGGGTTAGTAGTAGTTGCAAGTACTCTAAGAAAATAGATGAAGTGGATACAATAAGAGGGTACTACTTGATATATTTATGTAAATAAAAGCATTATCTTTAACTGTGAATTAACTGCCAACTATCAGGTTGTTAGTGGTAAAGCTCAATAAAGGCTGTGCTGATTCGCAGACTGAGGAGAGAATCTGAAACGTGCCATGGGGGTGGAGCTCTCAGGGTCATCCCGAGATGTTCCTTCAACCTGGGGCCTACACATCAGCATCAGTGCCCCCCACTGCCCACCCCTGCCAGGGATCCTACAGCTGCCTCTAACATTCTGGTTGGTTTCCATAAGGCAGATTGGAATGGTCCATCAGGTAACAGCTGCAGAGTGTCTGCCCGAGAGTGGTGCAAATCAGCATGGAGGTCTCCCACAGGGAGGCACTGGGAAATGAGAAAAAAAGGACAAGAAAAGAGTCTACAGCCTTCCCCCCCACCCACACTCTCGCCCTGCTCCCAGTCACAGCAGCAGCAGATCTCAATGTCACGTGATTACTTTAACGATACATTTCTTTAGATTTAGAATTGCTCTTCCAAATTTAAAAAGCTTGGTCAGCCAATAGTTTGGCAGTCTTTTCATCCCAAATTTGAATCATTGACTATTCATCTGTCATCTTGAATTCCTTGACCAATGCTGCCTTTGTTGAAGCATCTTAAGTTCATTCAGCCGTCATCGGATTCCAGCTCCTGGGAAACCTCTTCGGAGGAGCTGTTCCTATGGATCCGTCCATCACTCTTCATGCTGTGGAAAGTCTTCCTGAAGGCCTCCATCATGGCATGGGCCAGTTTCTTGGCCTCCAGCTTGCTCTCACACTCCACGGCATGGCAGTCCATCTGGTAGGACAGGTCGTCATTGATCTCCCTGTAAACCCAGGCGAAGATGTTGGGGCTCACGTTGTGGTCAGCAGTGCAGTAGGCGATGCGGGCCACCTGAAAGGTATCCATGTGGACTGTGGCCTCACCTTTGTGGTCAAGGTGATGGAGCCACACTTGGAATGGTCGGATTTCCAGGAGGGCATTGGCTGGGAAGACGTCTTCTCGGGCTAGTGTGTGCTTCTTCCAGAGCTCGATGACTGGCTTTTCTGTGCAGCCTGACAAAAACTGCATGCCTGTGGTGGAGACTTTCCCCAAATAGGTGACCTGCAGATGCAAGAGAGGAAGAAAAAGGGAGAGGTAAGCAGTTGGCTCTTCCTTCCAATAGACCAAATGCACAGATGCTCTCAAGCAGCCACAGTGTCACACTGGGAAGGTGAAGAGGCTTCTTGCTCCCTGAAAGAATACCTGTCATTAGAATTTCTACCTTTTCTCCCTAACAAGTTGCCCACTTGGAAAATGTACTAAATATTTAAAGGGAGTTGGATTTTTAAAATCTAATTTCTAGAGAACTACTCTCCCTCTTCCTACCCCCTTTTAAACTCAAATTAGAATGACTGATTATAATCTTTTACATATTTGGCATTTCTTTAAAATCATAAAGTCACTCAAAGTTTATTTTCAACCAAACACACAGTGTTTAATGATAGAAAGGAATCAAAAGGATGCTGCATCTGTGAAACAAAATCTTTGTTACACTTATCTCCCAGCTTGGTTGTCTTTCTAAATCTCTCAAGATTTGATTTCACTTAGGCTGCTTGCTTCTAGAAAATGCCAAGGATGTAACAACTCTTCTATTTAAATTATACCCTGAAGAATGATTGTTTCCCCTCTCAAGATAATTTTTTTAAATGCAGCAATACCCAGTTATTTTTCAACCTAAGCAGTTTTTGAATTATTATTATTATTATCCCTGGTTACGTGATAAGAAATGAAAGATCTACAAATGAATTAAGACTAGAATGCTGGCTTATCATATAGCAAGACAGGTGATGCTAAAACTAATAATAATTCTAAATGACTCAAATAATGTATTTTTAAAAGCTTGCTTATGATATACCAGAACAGATTGTCATTCTCTCATTTTTAAAATTCATCAAAAGGGACAAAACTGCAATCATTGGGGCATAGGCATTGTGGAAATGCAAAAAATAAGGGGGTCACATAGGAAATAACAAAATAGTATATACTTAGGTTTAAAATGAATGGCATGGATATAAATACTATGAATCTGCAAAGGGAAGAACCAGAAAAAGATCCATGCAAATAGCAAGCACTGAAGAAAGACATTTGGCCACAATGACTCCAAATCAGTGTTTATGTTTAGTGGGACTCTAACAGGCACATACAAAAAATTTAGAACACAGAGGTTAAGTACTGTTGCATCTTTTTGTGCTTTGGTTATCTCTCAAACAAGAGTTAATTGGATAGTCCCTTTAAAAAGATAACTTCTTAGTAAATGTGTTCGAATGTTGTACATTTCAGGTAGACAAAGTTGAGGTTTATGTCCTAGCTCCACAGTTCACCAGATGGGTGGTTCTGGACAAACCTCTAACCCTCTGCACATGCACAGATATGACTATGATGTGAAGCAGACGGCGAAAAGGGCAGGCAAAGGGTACAGCAAAGCTTCCTGAGCGTTCAGCAGAGGGAACAACAGTGCCCTGAGGATGGATGTGCTCAGAAAGAAGTATTTGGATTTCAAGGCATTGGGCCTCAAGGTGGTAAAGAGGATGAGGGAGTAGTAAAGGCAAGACTGCAGTGGGGACAGTCCCAACCAGTTTGAGCAAACAGGCCACTCTGACCTTGACCACACATAAGGCTGTAGCACAAGACAACCCTGGAGGAGAGGCTGGAAAAGAGATCCCTGACTGCTGGATAAAATAGGCTGAATGTTGGGGCTGGACCTGCATGTAGCTTGAGGGGTCAGGACTTCATTTCTTCTGAAGAAATGCCACTGAAAGTCTAGGGTCCAAGGAGAGTCTGCATGTGATAGAGGCTGTAAGCTCAGAAGACTTACCTAATGCCAGGAGGAAAGGCAGATGGGGAGGACTGATATAGCAGAAACAGAGACAGGAGGTAAGGTTGGCCTGGATTATAGGCAGTGGGAAAGGACAGGAGGAGACAGATGAGAATGATACTGCAGGGGTAAAACTGAAAACACTTGGCAATAGACTGAAGGAAGAAAATGACTCAGACAGGCATTGCCAATGCCTCTACTCCCCAAGGAGAGTATCCTTGTTTCCAAGGTTCATCCAAGTTTTCACATGTATCAGTATTTCATTCTTTCCTATGAAAACTTTACTTTTGATAATTTGAAGGCACATGAAGTGGGGAAGATCATTCTGGGAAGATAGTGGAGCAGAAAGCATCAGGAGTCTGTCTCCCACCTAGACAACAATTGCACTGGAAGACAGTGTCTGATGTAACTATCTTGGAACTCTGGAGTCTATTGAAGGCTTGCAACTTCCAGGGGAAGGCTCGGAAAATAAACTGAAGTTAATTTTGGTCAATTTCAGCTCTTAGCACAATAGTAGCTACCCATTCCCCTCCCCCAGCCTGTGGCAGGCAGCTGTGCACATGTTTTTGGAGTAATGTGCAAAAAGGACCTTGTCTTCCAAATATCAGGGATCTGTGCTCTGATTACTGATTGCTGCTTCTATCTCAGAAGTGCAAACACAGAGGGCAGCTGCCATTGTTGTTGCAGTCCAGCTGAAGTAACTTCCAGAGAATTAAAAGGACCAATACCCTCCCTCCTTTTTATTTTTCAATTATCTCCTTTGGGGATTCATAAATTAAAGACTAGAATGTTTAAAAAACAGTATGTGGGGAAACTTAGAAGTGAACGCACATGTCCAGGGAAAGATGCAGGCTCAGAAAAGACCAGAGAAGACCTTAAGTTTACAGCCCAGGCTAATCCTTGGCAAAGAGCTTACAACAATAAATAAATAAATAAATAAATAAATTCAATACTCCAAACAGCAAACCCTGGGGATGAAGGATAATCTGATTCCTTCTATGTTACTCCTCCTACATTATTAACCTCAAATATCCAGTTTTCAACACACACAAACGAAATCAGAGGTCAAACAAAGAAACAGGAAAGTATGGCCATTCAACAAATAAATAAATAAATAAATAAATAAATAAATCAACAGAAACTGTTTCTGAAAAATACCTGTTGGCAGATCTACTAGACAAAGACTTCAAAACAACTGTCTTAATGATGTGCAAATAACTAAGGAAAGATGTGGAGAAAGTCAAGAAAATGGTGCATGAACAAAATAAAAATATCAATAAAGAGATAGAAAACCTTAAAAAAATATTCTGGAGCTGAAATGTACAATAACCAAAATAAAGAATTTACTAGTGAGATTCAAAGATAAATTTGAGCAGGCAGAAGCAAGACCAGTGGAAGACAATAGAGAGCCCAGAAATAAACACTCACATATATAGTCAAACGATTTTCAACAAGTGTGAAAAGATCATTCAGTAGTGAAAGGACAATCTTTACAACAAATAGTACTGGAAAAACTGGATATCCACATGCAAAATATGAAGTTAGACTCCAACCTAATGCCATATACAAAAATTAACTCAAAATAGAGCAAAGACCTAAATGTAAGGCCTAAAACTATAAAACTCTTAGAAGAAAACACAGGACAAAAGCTTCATGACATTAGATTTGGCAATGATCTCCTGAATATGACACCAAAGAAACAGATAACAAAGAAAAATAAACAAATTGGACTTCATGCAAATTTTTAAAAAATAATATGCAATAAAGAACAGACTAATAAGGCAACCCAGAAAATGGTAGAAAATATTTGCAAATCATTTATCTTATAAGGGGTTAATATCCGGAATACATAGAAAACTCCTAAAAGTCAACAACAAAAACCAAACAACCTGATTCAAAAATGTGCAAAGGACTTTAATAAACATTTCTCCAAAGAACATATACTAATGGCCAATAAGCACATGTCGAAGGAACACCTGCACTCCCATGCTCATCACAGCTCTGTTCACAATAGCCAAGATATGGAACCAAACTAAATGCCCATTGATGGATGATTGGATAAGGAAACTGTGTATTTCCATATATACACCATGGAATACTACTCTGCCATAGAAAAGAATGAAGTTCTCCCATTTGCAACAACATGGATGAGCTTGGAGAAACTTAAGTTGAGTGAAATAAACAAAGCACAGAGTGATAAATACCGTATGCACTCTCTCATAAGTGTGAGTTAAGAGATAAAGAAGAAAGGAAAGAAAGACCACAGTGGGGCATTGGAATTAAAAAATACATTTAATCTAAAGAAATGAAGAGTTCTGACATCTTCCAAACGTTTTCTGGGAACAGAGATGCATGAATGTGTTCTACCAGTAATACTCCTCACTATTCCATTAGCTTCATCTTGCAAAGTATTACCAAGCCTACAAGGGAAGGAGAGCTGGAAGTGGACTGTGTGACTGCTCCTGTCAACTATGATATTGACAAGGGACAATGATCACACCAAATATTTTCTGGGGGCACCACAATTTACATCTGCTCTCAACTGGAGTTTGCAATAATGACAGAGGCTAGGATAGGCAGACAAGCCTTCCTACATGCACATAATCAGCAAATATGCCCCCCCCCAATGCCAGAGAATGACCAGTTCTCTAGTTACAGCAGTTCCATCCCTACTGCCTGACAGCACAGGGGTCTATCTCAGGCTTTAGCAAGGCTGTTGGCTGAATGTTCTCTTTGATTAAAATAAGTTGGCCCTGCTCAAACCTTCTTAAATAGTCCCACTAATGAACTGCTCTCTGGTTCCTATAGGGGTTGGTCAATACAAAACATGAGTCAGAGGACTAATTTATGATACCGGGTGAACCTTAGGAAGTCAATGAAGCTCTTATTTTGTTACCTTTGTGCAGTTGCTAAAGTTGTCTGAAATACAATGAGAATACATAATCACAAAGAAATATTGTTAACTAGTTGGCACTTCTTAAAGAAATACAGGAAAAGAATGTTCATTGCAGCACTCTTCACAATAGCCAAGAGCTGGAATCAGCCCAAATGTCCATCATCGGATGAGTGGATACGGAAAATGTGGTATATCTACACAATGGAATACTACTCAGCTATAAAAACGAATGAA